CCATCAGGTTTACAAAGCAAATGCTTTTACCTGCTGAGCCATCCTGCCAAGCCCTAGTTTTATTTTTTAATTTAGAAAACAACTGGTGAACTGAATTCATGATTCATGAATACTTAAGTATATTTTAAGTATACTTAAGTAACATTTTATAGATTAAAAAATGCACAGGTATATACTCAAAGCCAGACACTGCAGTGCTAGCACATCTATAAGGCTAAGATGGGAGGATCATAAGTTCAAACCCAGCCTATGCTAAACAGGGAAACCTGAAAAAATAAAAGACAACAAAACAATATGGCCGTCACACGTTCATAGGCTGATTTCATAAGGAACATACTCAAGACTTACCTTTACTTAAAAAACAAAATTTAATTTTGTTCTATGTAGCAACAACTGATTTAGCAAGGAACATGTTGGTGACAAAGGGCAGAGATCCTGAGAAGGATAACCTACTTTTTATACTGACTTTTCTCTCTTCAGCATCTGTCAAGTGTAGGAAGGTGCTGGAATCTGGAGAGGCAGACTAGAATAAAAATATGCTCAGTTCCAAGACTGGGAAGTGAGAAGAGGGGGATGAGAAGAAGCGGAAAAGTGGCAGGCAGGAGGAGAAAGTAGGAAGCAAGAAGAGGGGAGGGAAAGAACGAGAGGGAAGAGGAGGAAAGGGCAGGACAGAAGTGTGTATCACTTCAGAAGTGTTTCTGCATCGTCTTCAGCTTTTATCCCTCTCGCCACTCTTACCTCACTTACATCCCTGCTCCCTAGCCAAAGCCATCAACAACACTTCTAAATCATCCCTCAGCCTGTCCACTGCTGTCTCCATCACCAGAACCACCACGGCCCAACTCAACTTCATCTCTTGTCTGGAGTATTACAAAGTGAAAACTAGGACTTATTTCTATTGGTCCTCTCTGATCAACCATAACGTTTTAGTCACTGTCTGACTGAGTGTAGAAGTCTGCTTTCTCTTTCCAACATGAGGGTCCCAGGGATCAAATTCAGATCAATAAACTCGGTGGCAGGTACCCTTACCTTCTGGGCCATCTAAAGTCCCCAAAATAATCTTTTAAAAAAAGATTATAGCACCATGTAAACATTGTAAACATGCACTGGCTTTCTAAATGTATCTTCAAATCATGTTAAAACTAAGCTTTTAGTGACTCAGATGCTTAAAACAGCATGCAGACATAAATATTCAGTAAATGTTTATATACTAAGGTATGGTCCCTGCCTGACTTTCAGCTTGGAATGGCAGTCTCCTTAAGTAAGTCATTATGGTTCTTTTGTTTCCTGAAGCTTATTTCCAGTTGGGGCCTGTTGTTCTTTTTCCTGAAATGTTTTCTTCTTGACTTTTCAAGAGCTTATTTCTTTGTCATACGTCCAAGTTTCACCTTCAATGTCCTCGACTGATGACATCAATGAGGTCATTTTCACATTCTAAATAACTTTCCTTATAATTCTTTTTTTAAAAAAAAAATAAAAGGATTTATCTATTTTAAAGGTTTTAGAATTATTTTTACATTTCTGTATATGAGTGCCTTGATTGCATATATGTCTGTGTACTATATGCATACCTGGCTCCCATAGAAACCAGAAGAGGATATCAGATCCTAGTGGAGCTGGGTTACGGGTGGTTATGAGCCTTCATCTGGGGGTTGGAAACTGAACCCAGGCCGACTGCAAGAGTAGCAAGCACACTCGATCACTGAGTCATCTCTCCTGTCCTTTACAATTCTTTTTAAAACAAATAAACAAACAAACAGGGTATCTGTATTATGTATCTCTGACTGTCCTAGAACTTGCTATGGTGGCCTAGGCTAGCCTCACAGAAATCCAACTACTTCCGTGCTTGGATTAAAGGTATGGGCTTCCACACTTAACCCCATTGTATTACACAACCCTTCATTTTTTTCAAAGTACTTTAACTGGTCACTAACATAAATGTTACAGTCTAACATCTTGTATCCAACAAAATACTGTGTAAGATGGAAGAAGAGTCAGGATAAGAAAATTTAACTCTATCCTTGGGCAAGGAATATGGTACTTGCCTAGCACGGATAAGACAGAGTTTGGGATAACCAAAGTGTGAATGTGTGTATGTGTACGCAAACATTTCATCCTTTACAGGTTTTGAATGATTTAAGTATATGAAGACAATAGAGAAAAGGGACGTTTCAAGTAGGATGAGGTAAAGAACCACACTGTACTGTACATGTAAAAATGTGTGTTTTATCAGAGGTCAGAGTTCGGAGCAATGCAGCCCTCATCTATAGGCAGTCAGGATACAGAGCCAAGGGAAACAATAATCTATGTCTTGGTCACCTCTAACAACACCAAGGTTTTTAAATGAATGACCTAATTGGTGGGCTAAGGAATCAAAATCCAAAAGCCCTAACTATCAAGACACTGGCTCACCACTGGCCTCTGTTCTTTATACTTGCTGGTTCTTCAGCCCTGACATGGAACTTGAGGTGGACTTTCCTTAGCCTATACATGCCTGCCTATCTGATCAGAATTACCCACTTATATATAAATTAACTAACCAGATTCATCCTGGCTTAGTATCTCATTGACATACAGATAGGACCAAACTTACCTGTTCCTAGGACACAAACACCCTCTGCTCCCAAAGCATTATTTGGCAACTCATTAGCGAGCTGATTCCTTCCTTCTCAATACCTCAGCTTGCCTGCCCTTCTTGTATTTGTCCCTGTTCCTCATTCTTCTTGATCATGAACCAGAAAACTTGGCTCTGACTCAAGAAACTAGTAACATAAGATACCATCAACTGCAAAATGTACCACTATTTTATATTTCACTAAAGAAAAATGCTGCTGAACGTGTTAATAAATGTTCATTAATTACGAAAAATTCATCAAATTAAAATGAGAGACACTTCCTAGTAACAGATATTAAAATCTATGAGGACAAAGAGGTAGATGGGGAAGAAAAGTATAGACAGAAAGAGAAAAAGGAAACTATCATTCTTTTTTTTTTAAAGATATATTTATTTATATTATGTATATGAGTACACTGTAGCTATCTTCAGACACACCAGAAGAGGGCATTTGATTCCATTACAGATGTCTGTGAGCCACCATGTGGTTGCTGGGATTTGAACTCAGGACCTCTGGAAGAGCAGTCAGTGCTCTTAACCACTGAGCCATCTCTCCAGCCCGGAAACTATCATTCTATCAACAACACTAAGTGAGTTTTCTAGAAACCACTGTAAGTATGAAGACATGGATCACTGGTTATTTATTTAAGCCTTATCATCATGAGGAGAAGGCACTAAGCCACCGTCACACAGCAGCTGCTGTGGACTGACTTCATTTGCCTGCTCGCTCTGGGTCATCCCTTTAGCCTTAGACTGTCTAGATCATTGTACTTTAGATGTATCTCTTCTTGATTATAGAAGATAGTTGAATCTTGTTTTGTAATCCAAATTGAATATGACAGAAAGACACACATATACACACTTTTCAAAATTGAAGACCACACGTGGACTTATGGACTACAGATTATAGCTGATCATGAGAGAAAGATAAAGACAATTATAGAAACCTCACACTTGCAAATATATATAATTAATAATAAAAAGACTCATGGGCCAGGACCACTTTTAAATTAGATTAGAAAATAAAACCAGGATACCTCTGCCTAGCATATGTGAGGACCTGGGTTCAGTTTCCAGCACCACAGAAAAAAGGAGGAGAAAGAACGGCTGATAAGTGTCTATCTTAAGGAATCATAAATAGAAAAAAGCTCATAAAAATGAGAAGAAAGTAGCACTCCTGATAACACTTTAGGCTAGATTATACAGCCAATTTTCTCACTATAAAACAATACAAAGTAATTAGCAAAGCTGTATTTTTTTTTAAATCTCAAGAATTATTAGCTAACAATATGGAGCAGGAACTACTAGACAAGACTGTATGAGAAGGGTCGACAAATGGCTCAGCAGTTAAGAGCAGTGAAGAGCACTGGCGGCTCTTACAGAGACCAACCCAGAATCCACATGTGACTCACTACTATCCATAGCTTCAGTTCCAGGGGATCCGATGCCTCTTTGGATTTCCAAGTGCTCTTGTACACATATTGCGCACATACACACAGAATAAAATAAGAAAATACTTTTAAATATCATGGGAGGGCACGGATATGACCAATACATCCACACATATATACATACATGCATCTATATCAAGCACCAAGTTCATCTATGAACACAGACTTAAAAATTGGGAACCAGGTCTCCTATGCGCCCTTATGAATGAATTCAAGGCTCGGCCAAGTCTTCCCTGCCATTATGGCCTCCTACTTGGAAAGGATGTGAGCCAAACCCACCTTCTCTAAATTGCTGCTGTCAGGTGTTGTCACCACAGTGATGCAAAAGTGACTAATACAATACGCAGGCAAGGCGCCTGCAGGTGTCAGACCTGTAAACAGCTACCCAACATGATTCACAAGAGATCGGAAGTTGATCTAATTAGTGATTTTTCTCTAGGTTTAATTTATTAAATCTTAACTTTGGTTTGTATATTGTAGCCTAAACTTTGCTCAAATAAATGTCCTATTAATTTAAAATAATGACTGTTTCTTTACTAGCTGTTAAAAGATGAAAATACTTAGTGTAGACAAGTAGGAAAGTTTCTTCCATGTGTTAAATTACACAATGTTCACGACAATCTCACCAGGTAAACAACAGCACTATTACTATTTACAGAAAGGGAAATTCACGTATAAGGAGTTAATAACCTTCCCCGTGTCACATAAGTAAAAATAGAAGCTTAAAAATCTCTACCCAGAGTAAGTATCTCTCTCCAAAATCCACACCCTTAGCTACTATGCTATATTGCTTTTCATAGTACTTAAAAGCAGGAGGAAGGACAGGAGTTAAGGAACACTTAAGCAGTATTAATACCAATACAACCATAGGTTGGTGCATCACAGCTATTTCCAAGTGTCTAAGCCTTGATTAGTAGTTTTGAAGTTGGACAGACCTGGCTCTGAATCTTGGCTGTGCCTTTTACAAGCTGTGTGACTTTGGACAACTTTCGTAACTTCACCAAGTGTCAGTTTCCTCATCTGCAAAATGAGAATAATAAATGTCTTACACAATTTTTCTTAGTGACACAGGTACAAAAAAAAAGGTTTTCAACTTTCTCAGAAAATGGCTTTACTGTAATGAGGGTGCACTGAGTTTGAGCAGCTTCGAGATCCACACGCTGAGCAGAAACACAACATAAAATGCCACCGATACAAGCCAAATGCATTAGGGATCAAAATCTGGGCTTTGCAGGCACATGCTAGTCTACGACTACTACTGAGACACACTCCCAAGTCCAACCACTGGATCCTGGGAATAAAACAGAAAAGGAAAGGTCAATGGAGAAGGGACAAGGGAACCCTACTCAAAATGACAGAGGGATCTCTATGATTAATCCTAAAGACTTACCCAAATTTTCCTTTTTTTTTCCTATTAAGTTTTATTTCTGATGCGGGACAGATTCTTTCCATCCCTCAAATGTGTACTACATGTCACCATGGAAGGGCCTAGGATGAAGCTCCCATCTCCAGGGAAGGTGAGAGAAAGATACAGACTAGGAGCAGTCCAGGACCTTTGGCAGTTCCTGGATCTCCTACCCTCCCTTCTCAACAATTTACTCTCATCCACTCAGTTAAAAAGAAAAACAATTTAACAAAACACACGATAAGTATTGGGCAGGGGTGTCCCAGTCATCAATCCCTGGACATCAAGTTATGCGTCACCAATGGGGAAGTGAGGGGGAGGGGAAGAGTGCCTCAGGTCATTCTTGAATGGCCTCGCCTTGCCTACAAGGGATTTAAGAAAGGAGAAGAGCTGGTGCCCCACAGGGCAGCCTGAACCCCTAAGGAAAGCTGGTTGGGGGGGAGCTGCAGGCTGAGGCAGGGGGGGAACACTAGCCTCGGGTTGGGCAGTACAGGACAGGATCACACAGACATGAGAGGAACCTCAGAAAAATGCAACTGAATCTGGGTTCAAAGGGAGCTGAGGAGGACAGAGCAGAGAGGACCACCAAACAGCCATTTTTTTCCTTTTTTTTATATCAACTAAGACAAAATTTTTTTTCATTTTCCTACAGCAAACAGAAGCTCTTCTATGTGTTAAGAGTCATTTATAATTTGATATTTTTGTTCTATATATTTCTTCCAGTGCCAAAGAAAATTCAAGGCCAGTAAAAGATAAATATAGAATTACAGTTAAGAACCGAAATTGGATCTTCACAAAGAAGCATGTTGAAAAGAAAATCTGATTTCTAAAATTTTGTTTATAGATCCATTTATTTTATGTATATGAGCGTTTTACGTGTGTGTGTGTGTGTGTGTGTGTGTGTGTGTGCGCGCGCGCGCGCGCGTGCACCCAATGATTCTGAAGGTCAGAAGAGGGCATCAGATCTCCTGGAACTGGAGTTACATACAGATGGTTGTGAGCCAAATTTGAGTCCTCTGAAAGAGCAGGCAGTGCTCTTGACCACTGGGCCAACTCTCCAGCCTCAGGAAATCTGTTCTTAAAAATGTTTAGTGTTTATATAACTTGTGTGAGCCCATGTGCCACAGCATATTTGGAAATCAAAGACAAGTTTATGGAATCAGCTCTCTCCTCTTTCTATCTTTATGTGGGGTCCAGTGATTGAACTTGGGTGCAACATTGTTTCACCTATTGAGCCATCTTGTCAGCACCAAAACAGAAATCTGTATATTGAAGGTCTCTGGTTCATGAGAGCTGTTATGTATGCAAAGTTAAGTTATAAAATGTTTTTCAAGACTAAGAACAATTCAGATCAAGTATTTATGGAATGTTTACTATGTGCAATATAACTAAAATATTGAGAGTATCAGGAGTACAGAAGAACAGTAATAGCATCTCTTTAAGTTCTTACAATCCAGAAAATATATAAAAACAAAAACCTATATGACATTAAAATGCATTTAGAAGCCGGGCAGTGATGGCACACGCCTTTAATCACAGCACTTGGGAGGCAGAGGCAGGTGGATTCCTGAGTTCGAGGCCAGCCTGGTCTACAGAGTGAGTTCCAGGACAGCCAGGGCTACACAGAAACCCTGTCTCGAAAAACCAAAAACAAACAAACAAACAAAAAATGTATTTAGAAAGAAACAAATTGCTACCTGCTTTAAAAGTTGAGATTACTGAGTTAGAAAAAAAAAATGAAGGTTTCTGGAAAGATAAAACATTAAAAAAACAGACAGCTCTAAGTTATGAATATAAAAAAATAAATACAAAAGCTATTCTTTGGTCAACAAGGTGCATATTGACTACTGGTTACTATTAAATATGAGGAGAAATAAAAATGTACTAAATGGGCTGGAGAGATGGCTCAGCGGTTAAGAGCACTGACTGCTCTTCCAGAGGTCCTGAGTTCAATTCCCAGCAACCACATGGTGACTCACAACCATCTGTAATGGGATCTGATGCCCTCTTCTGGTGTGTCTGACAGTTACAGTGTACTCATATAAATAAAATAAATCTTTTAAAAAAATGTACTAAATAAATCTGAGCGTATTTTTGAAAAGAAGATTGACAACGTAGCGGTCTATATGCTCTGCCCAGGGAGTGACACTATTAGAAGGTGTGGCCCTGTTGGAGTAGATCTATCACTGTGGGTGTGGGCTTTAAGACCCTCATCCTAGTTGCCTGAAGCCAGTATTCCACTAGAAGCCTTCAGATAAAGATGTAGAACTCTCAGCTCTCCGTGCACCATGTCTGCCTGGATGCTGCCATGTTTCCACCTTGAGGATAATGGACTGAACCTCTGAACCTGTAAACCAGCCCCAACTAAATACAGTCCTTTAAAAGATTTGCCTTGGTCATGGTGTCTGTTCACAGCAGTAAAATCCTAACTAAGGCAGAAATTGGTATCAGGGACTGGTGCTGTAATAGGCCTGGCCATGCTTTTGTTTGAAAGAATGTGGATTTGGAAATCCATGGAATGTTTTAAGTGGGGCTTAATGGGCTGTCTTACGAGGAATATGGAAGACTTAAGTTAGTTACTGTGAGTGATTTGAACTATGCAGACCTGGCCCAAGAGGTTTCAGAGGAGAAGAATTTCAGTATGTGGCACAGAAACTGTATTTGTGGTATACTGATGAAGAATGTGGCTGCTTTTTGCCCTTGTCTGAAGAGTCTACCTGAGGTTATGGTAAAAAGATTTATATTAATTGCATTGACAAAGAAGTCTCAAAAAAAAAAAAAAACCAGCAGAGACTTTGTTCTCTGGTTAAGTTTCATGAAGAGCATTTTGAACAAGTGTGGCAAGCTTAGAAAGAAAAAATATAAAATATATGTTATTAAAGGGGCACCAGGAATGAAATGGAGCTGATTCCTATGTTCAAGGATATTAAATTGAATTAAGGGAGTAGTGATTTTGGGGCAAAATTCCACCCAGCTAAATTTAGGTCCAGGCATGGTAGTGCAAGCCTTTAATCCCAGGAGGCAAAGACAAGCAGAACTCTGAGTTTAAGGCCAGCCTAGAACATAGCAAGTTCTAGGTGGTTTAAATCCAGGCTTGGTGGACCACACCTTTAATCTCAGTGTTTAGGGGAGAGGCATGCAGATTTCTGAGTTCAAAGTCAGTCTATGGAGCAAGATCCAGGGCATCCAAGTTTAGGCAGTGAAGGATTTGGAAAGCAGAAAGCTGGTGATATGCAATAGAACAAGGGGGCCATGTTTCAGCCCCAGCAAGCAGTAGAAGACAGCTTTGGCCACGGGACTCCTGGGACAACTGATGCTGGTTAGCTGGAGACAAGAAATTAGCGGTGATTAAGAAGAGACCAGCATCATTGAGGTGAAATCATGGAGCTGTTTTCTGAGAGCACAAAGAAGCTGTGTTCCAGAGACAGCCAAGATGATACCTCGTGCTGCAGCTGTACTTGATAATGTATAAGAACCACCCAGGTGGTACTGGTTTTGAAGGCATGAAGGGGTCATGAAGAGCAGCTGAGGCTGCTCCGCACTGTGAGAGGCCATGGAAGGCCATTGGTGAAGGTGCAGCCCCAACTGCAGTTGACAGCCTGTGACTGAAGGGGTCATGCAAAGCATTTGAGATTGGCACCATGAAGAGAGCCTATGAGAGACTATTGGTGAGGCCTAGTTGTAGCAGAAGATCCCAGTGTATTGTAGACGCCAGTACCATGGGATGAGCACCAAGAACAGCAGCAGCAGTGGAGTGGATTACTCTGAGCTTAGACTGTCACAGAGGGCAGAGCTGGAGAAGTGACACTAGACCTTTGGAAGAGCCCAGAAAATCATGTGTGGATCCCAGACATTGAAACAAGAAGCTGTAACATTGAAGTTACCTTGGAGACCCCAAGATGTTTGTTCAAGATGCCAGAGCCATGGGCTATCTGCTGAGGAAAGCTGCTAACAGGGAGTAGAACCAGTCCAGAATAAGGAAGTTTGTTGCAGTCAACAAAGATGAAAAAGGAGTTGAAGATCTGAAGACTGCTTTGACTTCAGACATGGAGATGCAGAGTTTAAAGTTTGCCCAGCTGGTTTCCTGTCTTGCTTTGG